TGAGTGTGGGAAAAAATTCGTGGCATTTTTTTAGTAAAATTCAAGTGTTTTCTTAGAGTATTAAAATCAATTTATTCAAACTAAATATGCTCCATTATTTTCGATAATATAGTATTTTACTATTTTTGGGGCAGAGTCATAATCCCATCACGATAGAACTTCTGTGGCTTCTGGTTGAAAAATTGCTTTAAGTGATTTTCACAGGCCTCTTTCGAAGCCAGTTTTACACCATTAAGAGAGTTCTGCAGAGACCTAAACAAATAATAGTCTGAGAGTGCTATGTCAGCACTATATGGTGGATATATCAAAACTTTCCCAGCCAAGCTCTTACAATTTTTGCCGAGTTATCAAAGATGTGTGTGGTCGAGCGTTGTTGTGATGGAAGAAGACTCCCTCCTATTGATCAATTCTGGCTGCTTCCTCTCAATTGTTTGTTGTAATCTTTTCAGTTGTTCACAGTAGAGTTCGGAATTAATTGTTTGACTCGGCGATAACAGCTTATAGTGAGCGATTCCTTTCCAATCCCACCACACACACAATATCACCTTCTTCGTCGTCAATCCAAGTTTTGGGATTGCTTGCGCCTTCTCTTCTTCCTTTATCCACGTTTTTCTTCAAGTTCGATGTCGTACGAGACCCATTTTCCACCACCAATTATCATTCAGAAATTCTCTTCAAAAATGGCTCAATTTCATTCCGCTTCAGTAGCGTATCGCAAATGTTAATTCGGTCCATCATGTTCTTAACACTCAACTCGGAACCGAAACATTGAACTTCTTTTTGTATCCAGTTTTGTATAAATAATTCAAAATTATTTTGTGTCGATGCCTAGTTCTCTGGTAATCTCCACACTGCTCACATGTTATCACGTTTAACTTTTTCCATGATTTCATCGGACTTTTCGGTGATTGGTCGACCGGAACGAGGTTTATCTCTGACATCGAAATTTTCAGTACGAAAGCGAGCGAACCATTTCCTGTTGATTTTGATAGAGTATCTTCACCGTAAACAGCATAAATTTTTTTACAAGCCTGTACAGCGTTCTTGCCTTTATCGTAGTGATATTGCAAAATGTAGCGAATTTTTTCCTTATTTATCTTCATTTTCAAAGTAAAATAACTTTTGATCCACTTCACCGTTTCAATCTTTTACGGCTCAAAACAAAGGTTAAAATGTCACGCGTGTCTAGTGTTGTCGATGCGATTAGTAGTTACCAAGTGCTGAGCATGTAATGCCATCTAGTGCCAAAAGCCACAAACTTTTTCCCACACCCAATATACTGACACGGCTATTTATAAGTTCTTGCTATCTAGTGATGACACCCTATCGAAAACATACGGTTTGCCTAAAATCTATAAACCTGACGTTTTTTTAAAGATTATTATTTCATTGGTTAATACCCAGATAACCAAGCATGATTTAACATATCAAGCAAACGAATGCATTGCATGTTTTGCTGAATAGTTGATATTTGGTTACCATCATCATAAGCGATGTGCTACCAAATTCAGCAACATGAGTAGTAATACATGTAATCAGTTAATAAAATTTTAAGAGCAAACGATCAGCAACAATAGTACGGAAGGTTGCAAACAACATGATGGCAACATGACAAGAACTGATGATTTGTCTTTGCGTCAATAGCATTTTGATGGCAACGTGACAACAACAACAGAAATGGAACCTTTTTCACCGATTTGCTTTGTATTTGCTTTCAATCGTTGAAGTTTCTAAATTACATGTTTTTGCCGACAAAGTGTGTACGATAAGTAATTTTCATATATTAACAATTTGTCAATAACAAACACACTGTGCACGAATTTAAAAAATAATTTTTTATTTGGCAATCTTAGGGTGCGTTCCCACTTAGCGCGTCACGCGTCGCGTCGTCCAAGTTAAGCCAATCAAATCGTCCCATTTTAATGCGTAACTTTACGCCGAATAAAATGGGACGATTTGATTGGCTTAACTTGGACAACGCGACGCGTGACGCGCTAAGTGGGAACTCAACCTTTTATATGTTATATGATTATTATTTAGTGTTTGCTAGATATGTTATAACATATTATGAACACTAAAAGGATAAATCGTAAGAATATCGTTGGAGTCATTGGGAATCGCTCGCGTGCTGCTCGATCCTTAGGTTAAGCAACAGTTTAACAGAGTCAGGACATGGATGGTGCCGGTAATATACCGCTTCGGATCGAAACTATCGAGAGGAGAGGATTCATGAAAGTTTGAAGTGTGTTTTGTTGACTATTTTTGATATCTAAATGGTTTATGAGACATGAGAAAGTTAGGAAATAAAAATATAAAAATATAAATATAAAAATATAAATATATTTTTTAAATATTATGATTTTCTCATTTTTCACCTTCGCACAATAATTCTCAGTATTTGATTACTATTAATATTTAGCAGTGATTTTATTATCAGTATTCACCAGAAATTAAGTACTGGCCAAAAAATTACTGAATTACTGGTAATACTTAATCACTAATAATTTTTCAGTATTTCTTAGTATGATTAGGTGCTTCTACATTATGTTCGTTGGAATATGCGATGATAATATGCCATCATATGTACATCATTTATAATTAAGCAATTGTCGTCATGTTACTGTCAACTTGCTGTCGACTCATGAAGAATACACGTGAGCACAATCCAACGAACATAATGTAGAAGCACCTTGTCCCTACTTTTTCGAAAACAGTTACTTCAATGGTTCCCAGCAACTTGACAGCAACTTCATAGACAGGTGGCTATCTGGGTTGTCCGTTATATAACTTAGCGCTCTTTTTGCACAAACTTATTTATTCAAAAATTCCTAGGAAAAATTCTGCTAGGAGCAAAATTCGAAATAGTTTTAATTTGAAATCGCTTTCTTTCCACTATATTGAGGAATACCACAAATTGCTTTCTTTATATACCATCTCATTATTTACATCCCGCTTGACTTACCCTTATAGAAATATCATACTAAGAATTATTGATAATTACTTATTATCCAGTATTTTTAATATTGAAAATAAGTAATTATCAATGATTCTTAGTATAATATTTCTATAAGGGTAGCTATTGCCAGCATTGAAAAAGGTTGAGTTTTTACCGAGCCATCGACTAAGATTCCTCGAAATGAATTTTTGATAACGCTGAAATTTGTGCTCAATTCTGCTTATTTTACTTTTGACAATAAGATTTATCGCCAAACTTTTGACAGTCCGATGAGCTCTTCCCTATCTCCTATTATTGCTGACATTATTTTACAGGATCTAGAGGAAGAAGCGATTCAGAGGATATTTGTTTCATTGCCGTTTAATTTTCGTTGACGATATTATTCTGACTGCTCCTTTGTCGATTTGATTTTGTCTATTTTTAACTCATTCCATCCACGTCTTCAATTTACTGTTGAGATTAGCACAAATAACAAAATAAATTTTTTAGACACTTCTCTCATTATTACGGATAACAGGATCACATTTGATTGGTATCATAAGCCAACGTATTCTGGGCTTACTTAAATTTTTGTTCCTTTCATCCTTTACAACAAAAAATTACAAATTTGGTTGATAAAGCTTTTTTATTAAGTCACCCTATTTTGCTATAAGAAAAATTTAGACATGATCATGCGCACTTTGATCAGAAACGAGTATCCTATGGATCATATCTTCAAAATTGTTAACCGTCGTTTATCTGGACTTTTTAATAAAGTTAATGGAAAGGTTGTTGAACAAGTTACTGCAATACCATCCTTGAGATTCTTTCAAATAATTTCTTTTTGGGGCAAGATTTCAAAGAGACTTGGAAATATTTTTAAAAATAACATGACTACATACAAACTTTCGTTTTCTTTATAATAAAAGAAACAATTAGGCAGTAAAAGCCAAAGCATTGTTTATTCAGTGCCACTGCCTAATTGTTTCTTTTATTATCTTAAACAAAATAGAGCTTATACTTACGTTATTTTTAATTATTGTTACGTCTTGTGTTGAATATATTTACACACTTACAATAATCAAAAGGGCTTTATTGAGGAAAACTACATCGCTTAGTTGAAGAGCAGCGAACTGACTAAAACTATACTATACTAGCGACGGAGACACACACGTAGGCGCACTCACCGTAGCGCCACCCCGCGCGACTCTCATGCTCATCGATCGATAAATCAATTACCGCGCTTAACATTCTAAATCCGATAACATATTATCAGAAAATGTCGATAACAAAAAATAGCATATCCTATATTTCCTCCCCACTGTGCGATTGCTATTCTCCTGGTACAAATCTTTGAGATATTCGCTTTATGCGAGACGATCTACGAGGAGCGAAAGGTGGTGAATTGACTTCCCATGGAGGACTTCCTGTCGGAGTCGAAGATCCTGCTGAGATAGAGATATATGTAGAATCGGAATCGTTAACTGATGTATGGTCTGGCGTTCGTGGTGGCGAGATTACAGGCGGACTTTTAAGATTCCGTAGAAATGTAGTCTACGAGGACTTGCAGTTTGTTCACCCCGAGTTAGTGAGTTGCCTTGTTGTCGATGGTTTCCATGAACCTCGCAATTTTTAATTTGATCCACATGTCGCTTAATTCTTTTTTCCTGGTAATCTATCTATGTAGGTTTCCTAAGCGAGTGACAATCACTCCGGGTATCCACTTATCCATGCGAGGATTTCCTGATAAGAAATAGACTAGTTGCTTAGGTTGAAATTCGCGAAATATTGAGCTAACTGCTGCTTGTTGTTTTTGTGTAATCTTGACATTCGTTTCATCGGGCCTTACGAGATCCAAATTTGTCCGGATGGAACGACCTAGAAACAATTGTGTCGGCGATTGGCCTGTTGTTGCGTGAGGTGCTTTTCTGTATTGGCGCAGAAATTGGTATAAATTCTGTTGTAGCGACCTTGGCGTCGTTGACATACGCTTTAGTGTGTCCTTTACTGTTTGGACATACCGCTCCGCTTGTCCATTTGTTGCTGGATGATACGGAGCTATTCTCTAGTGGTACTTAACGCCGTTTTTCTGTAAAAGCGATTCAAACTCCGTTGCCGTGAATTGTGGTTCGTTGTCAGTAACGATCGTGACTGGAGATCCATAGACAGCAAACAATTCTTCAAGAATGGCAGTTGTCGCTGGTGTTGTAGTAGAACTTGTGATCTTCACCTCGAGCCATTTACTGTAGGCGTCGACAACTATAAGTAATATTTTTCCTGCTACGGTTCCTGCGTAATCCAAATGTACTCGTTTCCAGAGACCCTTAGGATATTCCCAATGATGGCTACGGATCTTCGGTGGCTCATGTGCATTCCTTACACAATGTACACAGGTTTTTGCTATTTTCTCAATCTCAGTATCGATGCCAGGCCAAAATACGAAAGATCTTGCCATACCTTTCATTTTTACTATCCCTAAGTGTGCAATGTGTAATTCATTCAAAATTGCTTTTCTAAAGACTGACGGGATTATGATCCAATGCTCGAATACTAAACATCCAATGCTCGAATACTAAACATTCCTAGTCTGTAATTAACTTCTGGTGTTTTGTAGCCTAAACGAGTGAGGTCTTGGCCTGTTTCTATTTGCTGAACTATCCTTCCCAAATGAGGATCTCTTCGCGTTTCACGGGCGATGTTTTCGGCGCAAATAGGAAGTTGCTCTATTTGATTCAAGACGAAATGATCGAATCTATCAAAGCCTGTCTCTTCCTTCTTCATCAGGGAGACTTGTTATACTGTGTGAGTTGCGGTTGGCAACGCCATCCGTGAGCAGTAATTTGCATTTACGTTAGCTTCTGTCGGCTTAAAGATGACATCGTAGTCAAAATGGGATAGATAATCGGCGTAATTGGCCATCCGACTAATGTAGAGCGTTGGCAAAGATTTCTCCAGGTGAAGGATCTGCGTCAGCGGTTTGTGATCGGTAATGAGCGTAAAATGCTGTGCATAAAGATAATGGACAAATTTTTGAATGGCCCACACTATTACTAATGCTTCTTTGAGGATAGCGCTGTTCTATAGCGTTCATCGTTCGGCTTACGTAAGCGATTGGTCTTTCCTGACCGTTGCTTAATTTGTGAGATAAGATAGCTCCAAGTCCTGTTTTACTGGCATCTGTTGCGAGCACCAGTGGACGCGTTGGAAAAAATTTGAAGATGCAGTGTTGCAAGCATTGTTGGAAGACTCCACTCAAACTCAATCACAATTGGCGGAAGTATTAAATGTGACTCAAAAAAGTGTTAGCAAACGTTTGCACGCGATGGGAAAGATTCAAAAAGAAGGAAAATGGGTACCACACGAATTAAATGAAAGACAGATGGAGAATCGAAAAGTCACCAGCGAACTCCTGCTGAAAAGAGGTGTATATCAGTTGGACACGGGGCAATTGGACACAGTCCAATCACAAGTCACTGTTCCAAGGGACCCTACAAATGTCTCTAATCATACGGTGCTGTGATTGGCTGTGTCCAAATGCACCGTGTCCAAGTGCACCGCTCCCGCTGAAAAGACATCAACGGAAGAGTGTTCTATATCGAATCGTCACAGGTGATGAAAAATGGATATATTTGGAGAATTCCAAACGAAGAAAATTATGGGTTGATCAAGGCCAACCATCAACATCGACTGCAAGACCAAATCGCTTCGGAAAGAAAACAATGCTCTGTGTTTGGTGGGATCAAAAGGATGTTGTTTATTATGAACTTCTCAAATCCGGTGAAACGGTTAATGCTGTTCGCTACCGACAACAAATGATCGATTTGAACTATGCATTGATCACAAAACATCCGGAATGGGCCTAAAGACATGGAAAAGTGATTTTGCTACATGACAATGCGCCGGCCCACACCACAAAAGTTGTCAAGGAAACTTTAAAAGAATTGAATTGGGATGTGCTACCTCACCCGCCGTATTCACCGGACATTGCTCCTTCGGATTATCACTTGTTCCGGTCGATGGCGCACAAATTGGCTGAGCAACACTTCGCTAATTTCGAAGAAGTAAAAAAATGGATAAATTCATGATTTGCTTCGAAAGATGAAAATTTATATCGTCGCGGAATCCATCTTTTGCCAGAAAGTTGGGAAAAAGTTGTAACGTCGAATGGCGCATACTTCAAATAAATAGCTTTAATCATTCATTTCAAATTAACATGTGTTTTTCCTTTAAAAAATTCGCATTTTATAGGTATACATCTGGTAAATAATGTTCTATGAAAGAACGCTTGAACCTTGAGATCTATGTAAATAAATCGCAACTTCAAGATAAAGTCTATCTTTTCTTATATGAATTTTACAATATACATTTTGTGTCTTCAATTAAGGTTTCCGCTTTCGCGTAGTAATCATATCATATAAGATCAGACTCATAGAGTTCCTACCTTCATAACTGTATCGGGCTCGACCTCGGTTGTCCGAGAGCCGACACGAAAGCACCGGGACTGCCTCGCAAGAGGCACCGGCGTCATGCGTGGGATTAGGATCAGTGGTGGTGAGAAAAGAGGCTTCACAAGAAAATTGACAGTGTAGCACAGATTTTATTGCACACAAAACTCACTGCACTTACCCGATCTCGCGACAAGCGGAGGACGGAAATCTTGAGCGAGTCTCGAACGTGAGGCCGATCGGAGTGTGACGGAAATCTTGAAGAGTATCTTGCTGATACTCGCGCGACGGAAATCTTGCCGCGCCCGTCGGAAATCTTGCTGCGCGAGGCCTCAGACTCGAGCACGCGAACGCGAGCGAGATCGTCGGGTTTACACTTTTGAGACGTGTCACACTTACAACAAGATGCATATGAAATATCGGAGCGCGTGCCGTCGGTAGCGAGCGCCGAGCGATCCGACATGGATCGTCGACGAACGCGAGGAAACGGGAACCTCACGATGGAAACGCGGGCTTCCTGAGTCCACTCCGGCGTCCAGCGCTCGAACGCGACACGAGAAGTCGAACGCTTAGAGAACGGAGCGACACGCGAACGATGAGCGTGAAGGCGAGGCACGAGAGGAGCATCGACTTGATCGAGAATGAGGGCAAGCCGGCTCCCTGGTCAAGCGGCAAGGATATCGCGAAGCCGTTCTCCTACGAGGATCTTCCACGCGCACGGCCGTGTTGGATCGCCCCGCGGACGGAGAGAATGACCGAACGACGAAGGTCCCGTCGGACGTCGCGAGAGGAGCACTTCCGAACTCGAGGCGACGGCAAAGCCGCCGAACGTTTCGCAGCAAGGACAACGGACCTCCGCGCGAGTCGGTCCACGAACTTGACGATGAGCGACTCCGAAAGTTAGCGCGGAAGCAGCTTCGCGCTGAACTTGAGCCCGAGAGATCGGCGACCGCAGACTGACCCGGGAGAGCGAGCCGGCTTACTAGAGTCTTGAACGAACTCGGTGCGAAGACGTTAACGCGAAAAAGGTTTCGCGACTGATGTACGCGGGCGTACTTATAGGTTTTCTGAGTGTGATCTGGAGCGAGCGGATTGGACCACAGGAAGCAGAAAAAACGTGACGACTCGCGACCAGCGCGAGTCTACCGCGGAGCTGAGGCTTTTTTTCATCTCGGAATGCGAGCGTCTCGCGGCGCGTGCCGCCCGCGGAATCGGTGTTAGGCCTCTCGTTGTCATAGCAACTGCCTCACGTTGCGAGCCAGCGGCTCGCTAGCCGCGCGACGACGCGATCGCACGTGATCCTCACGTGCCACCAAAACGCGTGAGAGGACGAACGAAGTCTATGTTATTACCGATTGTAATCATCGACAACCGTCCTCTCGCAAATGCTTCGAACCGAGTGGTTCCCGAGGTAACGAGAACCATCCGTTTCGTTCGAATCTCGAACAATAACCATGGATGAAACATGAGTTCATCATTTCACACCTGAAACGAAAGAACAGTCGAAACAATGGACTGAAAGGGGAGAATCGGCTCCGAAAAAGGCGAAGACAACTCCATCGGCTGGCAAGGTTATGGCGTCAGTTTTTTGGGATGTGCGTGGGATAATTTTCATTGATTATCTTCAAAAAGGAAAAACAATCAACGGCGAGTATTATGCGAACTTATTGCAGCGTTTGAGTGATGAAATCAAGAAAAAACGTCCGCATTTGGCGAAAAAGAAAGTGTTGTTTCATTATGACAATGCACCGGCTCATACGTCCGTTATTGCGATGGCCAAAATCAATGAGTTAAAGTTCGAATTGCTTTCTCACGCACCCTATTCACCAGATTTAGCCCCCCTCAGATTATTATCTATTTCTAAACTTGAAAAAATGGCTTGGTGGTAAAAGATTTGCTAACAATGAAGAGGTGGAGTCTGCGGTTGATAGTTATTTTGAGGAACTCGATGGTTCTCACTATAAACATGGTATCGAAGCTATTGAACATCGCTGGGAAAGTGTATCGAGCTAAAAGGGGACTATGTTGAGAAATAGATATATTTTTTCAAAATTTTTGTGTTTTCTTTGTTAGGCCGGGTACTTCTGGGACTACCCTCATAATTGTTCCAGAGAACCGTTATAGAAACCAGCGTAATAGTGTTCCGATAGAAAACGATAGGAGCTCTATAGGTCGACTCTTATATTATATGATTACTACGCTAAAGCTAGGATTTTAATTGAAAACATAAAATGTGTATTGTGAAATTTATATAAGATACAATAGACTTTATCGTGACGTTCGGATTGATTTACATAGATATCAAAGTTCGACCGTAATCTTATAGAATATTACTCAATATTACTAAATGACTATAGTATAATAACCTTAACATTTATGTAATATGTGTATTGTAACATGTTTATAAACTTGTATACATTTATTCTTGTATTCGTAGGATTAAACATTATAAATGTTGAAAATTATTATACAAAATAATATATTCTTTATTGTCTTGTTCACATGAGGTATATCTACAATAGAATTATATTCATTATGATAAATCATCTTTCGTTAAGAAAACTGCATCAGATAGGCCAGATAGATTACAATACAATTTTTCGAGAAATTTATAATATTTTACTGTTTTCTATCGGCCTTTTTAAGGGAAGGCTTCCTCATTTTTTCCATAATAATGTTGTTTATAAATTGCAATGCAACGACTGCGACGTGTCTTATGTGAGCCAAACAAATAGGAGGCTCGCTACTCCTATTTCAGAATACAAACTTCTACCTAAAAACTTAACACCCGATCTTTCAGTAGTCCAGGAACATCGGATTAATTATAACCACGAGTTCTGTTCTGAATCGATGTTAAAATCTTACATGAAGAACGACTTTACTTCAAAAGATCTGAAAAATTCAAAAGTTGCTGAAATGATTTATATTAAATTACAAAAGCATGACTTTAATGATACTGTAAATCTTGGCAGCGGCTATAACGTTTTGTTTGAATGCATGTAAATATTGAACTCTGTATTCATCACATTTGGCATACACTTTCGCTTCCATGAATTTATAAACAATGTACCTGTACCACTGCCAACATTCGGAGGTACGCACAAGAATAAATCATTTCGCTCTTCGTAGAACGGTCTTCCAACCTGGACAAAGATGAATTTTTATTCAGTGGATAATTTAATTTTTTCTTCTCTTCCTCACATCTCCTAAGTGATTCTTGTATCATTTTGGTACTCAGACAATACTACCGCGGCACCTTACTAGTGCATTTGAAGTGACTGAAGATGTGACGGGGCCATTGGCATGTGTTCATTACACCTTTGGAATTTGTGTCTTGGAGGAGTCTGCGAGGTTTTTAACGATAACATATTTATATTCGTGTTCTCCGTTCTGACTGCGGCGTCCTTCTTTTTATAATTTTACTTTTTGCGAACTATTTGACTAATGAGTAAGACTAATGATTTTTTCTTTGTGGCTATATTTATCGATCACTGAAGAGGGTCTGCGAAAAAGACCGAAACGCGTTTAATTTCTTATATTATTATTTTTTAATAAATTTATAATTTTCCTCTCTCGAAGGACATCCACTAATTATCATATTAGTTTTATTGTATTAAGACACCTGTGCTAAACTTTCATAAGCCCTATTTTAACTTCTTGATTTTATTAGTTTTAATTAATTTTTAATTAATTAGACATAGTAAAAACCTAAAGTTTAAATCTTGATGGCAGAAATTAACAAAATTAATAAAAAAAGTTGCAAGATATCCTACCTTATGGTTAACGTCCCAGAAATCGAGTCTTGTCACTGCTAAGTTATTAGTAAATGTAGCAGGTGTAAATAAGAGAAAAATAAGTAATTTAAGTCCACATTAATGGTGTCCATGTATTTTTGCAATGTCTTCAGTACTATGTAAAATTGTTATTTGATTACTGTAAAGTTTCGATTAAGTTAACGTTTCAAGTTTCACACAATTCCAATTTTTACACTGTTGTCGTTGTTGTTGTTGTAGTTGGACCTTTCGGTTTAATCATCATTAATGCACGTTTTAGGGTATAATCCCAGCCTCTCCAGCGGAACCATACAATACCTTTAACAATAATATAATCTTATTAGGGTAAACTCGAATAAGATGGCCATATTTTTATAAAATGCAAAAAATGCATTTCTTATTGTTATTTCTGTAACGTTGTAATAGCGTTACAGTACATTACTTCACTGCGTTTGGCACATTACTTCATTGAAGCATACAGTATATAATACCAGAATTCAAAGGAAAATACTTCAGTAAAATTATTTATTACAAAAATATTAAAGCATAAGCATTGGCCATAATTACATAAATTTTTCAGATAAAATGGCCATAAAGGAATAGACGATCCATATATTTTATGTTCAAATTTCTGTATCTATTATTTTATAAAATAATGAAAAAAACATAATTTAATATATTTATTTTAGTATAAGATATTTAATATATTATTTATGAAAAATATAATACACATATAAAATAAAAACTTCTATTACAAAACTTAAATTCTAAATGCAATCAAAATCTTTTGATCTTTTGATCTTTTGATCAAAATATATTGCATATAAGATTTAATTACTGTAATATTGAAAATAATTTTTAAAATATAACAACTTTTATTTTATAAATGTTCATAGAATGATAATGGGTTATCTTTCCTAAAATGTGAGTAAAAGATGGCCATAGTATTTACAAACAAATAGTGAAAACGGAAATAAAAATGCATATTATATTACAATTTACATACTTATTTCACGTATTTAACGTTGATTGCGATAGCTTAACTGTTATTTATTCGACGATACAGGAAGTTTTAGTGGACACATGAGAAATTTTACAGTCGAAAATAAAAATATAATATAATATTCATAATATTGCTATTTCGAAAAGTGTACGCACATACACTATGATAAATATCGATTATCTTTGTCACTGATCACAAACGCAATATTTTAAGAATATTTTTAATTTATTATGAAAATTACAGTCTATTATTTCCGTATAGCCATAATACCCTACTGTTCAATATAAATTGAAATAATAATTCTCAAATACGTAATTTTTTCATTATATATATACCCATACAGAACATAATATCTACACAATATCTATGAAATATCCTCCATGGATAATAGGGATATCCACGAATATCTAATAAATATCCATTCGATATCAAAGTTAATATCCAGTAGACATCTATAGTATATGTAGTGAATATTTCAAAGATATCTAGTGAATATCTATTAGATATTCATATTTATTATATTGTAAAAATATAAAAATATTTCTCTTTTTCTGAATTTTTCTTAAATTTTCCACTTTATTATTTCACCTGTTACTTAATACAATTTAAATTTTACTTCGAAAAATTTCCAGGGATTCGAACCTGAAATATCTTCTTGAATCGTTTATCATACCTACTGCGCCACTGTCACTTTGACTGAGCTAATATTGTATACAAATGGTATATCCAAGTAAAAAAACAAACGATTTATTTAAAAAAAAAGAGATTCTTTTAAATGTCAAAAGTATGTAAAAAGTATATTTCAAGAATATTTACTTGTTTTAAAAGTAAATAAAATACAAATCAATTATTTTGTAAATTTAAATAAATTGTTTTCTGATAATAAAAAAAACTTTAATTTGAAACATATAAAAGATACCTTTAATGTTAGAAAAATTATTTATTTAGATTTATAAAATGATTTACCTGTACTTTATTTACTTTTAAAACAAGCAAATATTTATTTAAACACAGTTTTTATATTTAAAAATTAATTTTCTTTTTGCGAGTGTGTAAGGAAATCATTTCTTTATTCTTATATATACATATTTTAAATAAAAAAAACCATTTTTTCTTATTTAGAAATTCATAATTTTATAGCTTATTTTATAAATTAAAAAAAACCACTTTATATTTACCACATGTTTTCTAAAATCTAACAAATATTTTTTTAAGTTCAAAAATTATATTTAACAAAATATAATGTCAGCAAAGTCCCAGTAGCTATTGGATGGATATGGTTACATGGATAACGTGTGGATATCTAGTGGATATCCCCAGTAGAACTATTGGGTGGATATGGATATCTTATGCATCTATTAAATGTTTACTAAATGTCCATTGTAGATATGGACATTATATGAATATGTAGATATCCACTATATATCTATTAGATATTTTGTTCTGTATGGATATATACACATATAATGAAATATTATATATATATATATATATATATATATATATATATATATATA